AAACAAGCTTGTTGAAATATTAACAAAGGAACTAAAAATCCAGTAGCTGGCTTTTATTTTTCTTGAAATTTTTGTTCATTGATATTATTGCACTATTTTACCTGAGTAATTAGAATTGAGAGACCATTATGGACTTGTGAAGGGCAACACTGAATACTGGTTTTGTGAGATGAAATTTCTTCATTTATAAAGTATATTAGCACTTTTAAATTCTAGCCATTGAAGAATAAGAGAGTTTAAAAGAAATTTTCAAAGGAAGATATCAGATAAAAGATGAAATGCCTGTCTCTTGTCTTAACTATGCAAACAGATTTCTCACTTAGGCCTCTATATTTTTTATTCTAAAAGAAATGACCCAACCTAGTATCAAAGTGCATTTGTCTTCACTTGAATTTCTCTAACATATTAAGATTTTTTAATACTTTTTCTGATGTTAAACTTAGTATTGCCACTGAATGGTTGGAATCTAATTGGAATTTCAAATAGTGAAGTAGAAGATTGTAAATGAACTATTCTTGTTAGTCATTAATTCTAACATGGACTAAACCAGGGGTTCTCAATCTTTTTCTTGCTGAGGCCCCCCTTAACATTCTATAAAAATGCCAGGCCCAGTGGGGGCAGGAAGGGGGAAGTCGGGGCTCCGGGCCAGAGGGGACACCCTTGGGCATAGGCATAGTTGACTTCTATTTGGGGGAGCAAGGGCTGGTGAGGCACGAGCCAGCTCCACACAGTGGGGTCCAGGGAGGGAGCGCAACCTCCACCCCAACTCACTCAGGAGGTCACTAAGCCTGTCTGGGCTGTGTGGGGACACAACCAAAAAAATATAAATTCTAAGGGGGGACTCAGCTCAAAAAGTTTGAAAACTGCTCAGGGTGCAGGGGGGATAGCTAGGGGCTGTGTGAAGTGAGGGGTGTAGCTCAGGGTGCAGGGGGTAGGATGACCAGACACCCAGGTGTGAAAAATCAGGACATTGGGTGGGGGGTAATAGGAACCTATATAAGAAAAAGACCCCAAAATCGGGACTGTCCCTATAAAATTGGGACATCTGGTCACCCTAGCATGGGGGGATAGCTAGGGGCTGTGTGCAGGCAGGGGAGTAGCTCAGGGTCCAGCAGGGGATAGCTAGGCAGGCAGGGGAGTAGCTCAGCCTCAGGGTGCAGGCAGGGGGATGTTAGGGGCTGTGTTGGGGGGGCTCCCAGTGCGGCTCGCAGCTTCAGTGGGCTGGAGCTCCCGACTTCAGTGCTGGGGCTCGGGGCACCGGGTTTCAGTTGCAGAGCTCTGTGGCCCCCCCGAAAGGGCTCATGGACCCCCAGGAACCACTGGACTAAATTTTACTTTTAAATTAACTTTATTTCCAGTGACAAAAAATTACGAAAACTCATTCAATGGAAAAAAGTCCATTAGCTACAAATGGAGGAAAGGCAAAATTGATTTTCTTAATTGTAATCTTGGTCTCTCCTAGCATGGTGTCACTGTTCCCAACAGAAGTTACAACTCATGGCATTTCTGACCAATCAGTAGAAAGGAAGCAGAGCGCTCTTCTTGGAAACTGAAAGTCTACAGCAGTAGATCTATCACGGGAGAAAGAAAAGTAAACTGCACGCATTCTACCTCATGCTCGGATATATTGCTTTTTTCTGTAGCAACCCCATGTGCTTCGGCCAAGATTTTCAGAAGTGGAAACCTACAGTCAGACTTCTTAATAAGTCCGGCCACTTATTTAGGAGCTAAATTGGGATCCAGGAGCTTAACTTAAGGTATAGTTGCTCTTTTGCCAAGTGGTAGCAGATGTCCAGGGGCCCGTGCAGGTTGGCTTCCCAGTCACAGAGATATCAGTGAAATGGAGTCTAAGTATTCTATACTTATTCTAAGTAAAGCTTGTTTTATTTGTACACGTACACCAGTTCTGGAACAGAGGTGTTCACAAACAGCATGTAGGCAATTGCTTCTTTTTAGAAATCTCAACCCAAAAACCAAGACCTGGTTCCCAGGGAGCACCTCTGCTTCAAGAATTGACTCTACTCAAAGATCCAGGAAGGGAGCAAACTCTGCCACCAGAACTTTACATAAGCAATCTAACACATAGCATGTGTCTTTCCAACACTGGATATTTTCTCATGTGCTAAGAAAAAGATCTTGGAAGACTATGGGTAACAGCACCATCTGGTGACACATGCCATAACAGATTCTATTTTTGAAAATCTGGATCCAGGTTTATTTGCTACAAAAACAACAGATCAAATCAAGCATGGAATCGCATCCTTCATATTTAGTTTCCTAACAACTATGAATGTAATATTTATTAGGCATACCACACGTTTCATTATCCTAAGTAAAATCACAAGTGGGAAACCCCTTTGAACATGCATCTTCTCTCCAAAACCAGTAGTTAGAGATAGCCTTTGTTTACAATTCAGAAGTACCAAATTTTGACATGTGTATAGCAATACCCCTTCTTCCATAAACGGTGACATCTCAAAATAAAGTCAAAACGATAATTATATTACATTTTCCAACTTACAGGCACTGGAGATACCCTTTTTCTTCTAACACCTGGTGATTCTGATTTAACAGTTCTAGAGGATGAGGATGAGGAGCTACTAGGAGAAGGGCTACGTCTTCCTTTCTGAGTTGCAGAAGCATTGCTTTGCCCTTCAACGTGAGGTTCTATTGATAGTTTGTTGCTTTCAGAGCCATCACCTTTCACTGGGATTGGTTTTACCACCTTGTAGGAAATAAGTCACATAGTTTGTGGTTAGTAAAATGATCATCTTCTAAATAAAGCAACAGAACACACTAACTTGAAGTCTGGTTGAACATATGTACAATGTTTACATTTATTTGTTTCACATCTGATATATTCCCTTTATACTGAAATTATTAGCTATTCCCCAATTATTTTAGTGATCAGTGTTTGAGAGTCACATTGGCATTTCAAATGTGTGTGTATTATTAGATTAATTCCCATTCTGTTTTTCTTAGCAATCGTATGTCCAAAATTAACATTCATTCATGTCTATAATGTTAACAGTTTCTGCATGATTTATTTGCCACCTTCGGTTCTTCCAGGTTATAGCTGAAACTATTTATTAAGCAATCTGAAGTCAAGAAGAAGTGGCCAAGTTCTTTACTGTAAATAATTATGCTTTTGATCTTGCTCTTTTGCATGCATCTTTTAATGTTATTAGGACAAAACCAATCACAAGCCATCTTGCAGAAGAAGAGCAAAATGAACTCTTTGCATTTTGGTTTACGTAAAGAATTTATCATGGAAAATGTTTTTTTCTGGTGATAATCACCTGTGCTAGACAAATGGGGGATTAATACATCAGAGTTTTAAGAATGTGAATTTTTTTAAAATTAGAAACAGAATTTTTGGGGGGTTTTGACTGAGAAAAGGAAGAGAAAATGGTTTAAAGTTTTATTCTGTAAACAAAGCTACTTTGGATGTCAACAGAGGGCAGTGTTGTCACAATAATATTTTTAAGCAAAACAATATCAGCTGAGCTATTTGACTTTCTAAGTATCAAACACATTACAGATCTGTAAACTATACAGAATTAGCAACAATTCTTCAAACAGCCAATAAAAGTGAACAAAGGGACCATAACTAAGTGTCAGCAATCATAACTAAGATTCAGGGTAGTGGGGTTTTAAGAACAAATATTTATTAAGCCGTCTTGGCACTTTTCACAATTGTAAATAATCAGTAAAAAAAAATTCAAATTATTATTACCCTTTCTTGAACACTACTTACCACAGGGCCTCTCCTGCTTCTCCTTTCCAGCCATTCATGCTTCCAGGCTGGCATACATGTTGCCTTGAGTTTCTCCCTGATCATGCGCTCTTCTGGGCGGTCATCCATTTTCTGCAACCCCCTGAGGGTTTCTTTATTCTCCATGTCACGACTAAAATAAAGAAAAAACGAAAATAAAATCATAAATGTGATTGTCTTTAATTAAACTTAGAGACATAACACTGTGGTATTCTTAAACCTTGTACCATCATAAATTTCTCTCTCTCTTCTTACAATATAATTATCAAAACATTAATTCCAACTGGCTGGAGCAAGCCACTTAAGCGTTACTGTGAACAATCTGCTACCCTGCTATTTGGAGCATAACTGCTTTGAGGCATATTTACTTGAAATGTGTACTAGTCTGGGTATTAGACCTCCAATAAGAAAGGCTTCTTTATGAAATACTAATTTGAACCAAAACAAAAACCCCACATCAACCAATCCCCCGCCTCCAGAACCTCCCATAAAAAGCTCAGAAGTTTAAGGTTGCTCATACACCTATAGACACATGAAGGCTTGCAGTGTCTCATGTATTTTAAGACAATTTATAACATGAATAGTGTAGAAGATTTAGAAAGAGGAAGGTATAGTATAAAAATATGTCATGCCACAAGTTATTTGTGCAAAGAAAAGCTTAGTGAAAGCACTTAACACTTAATTTGTTTAAATTAGAAAGGGAAGTCATAAAAGTAAGGATTAGTTAAGAGCTGCTTTCTGGACTACTTTTGACTCAAAAGCATTCCCAGTCAGCTATCATCATAACAAAATATGTAGTCCGCTAATATCACTAAAATGAATGCTTATATGATTTTGACCTACTAGCAAAGTAGTTGCCTGTGTTTACAGGCAACAAAAATACTCAAATACTTAAGTACACATGAGAACAGTCAGAAGGATTAACTGATTCTATAGAGCTATCTGCCAAATCACCAAGAAAACCACATTCCTAGCCACAACACATGATCCCTTACCATGTTCTAGAAGTTAGTTCATTTAAAAGAAAATAAATTGTATTTTTTCAAAAAGCAAATCTATCGCCTAAACCCAATTAGACTGTCAATCTGAATGGATTTCAAAAATATTTAAAAAAAATCAAATTAATGTGGAAAAAATAGGGCTTTTAATAATTTGTCTACACAGAACAAATAATTTGCATATTTGACGTTGTTTCATATATACACACAATCCCATCTTAACTTTCTGAAATGTTTATCTTAGTTATGCAGATAGAACTTCACTACTATACACTGTCTTCTATGAGTTTTTTGTAAGTAGTATTACTATTAGACAATCTGCAATACATAAATTATCTTTCCTGTGATAAAAATAAATTTAAAATGTCTCTTCTGTGCAACAATCCATATCTAATGGTGAAAAAGAGATTGTAAAGAATGAAAAAAAAATACTTCGATCAAATGTTTTTGTTGGCCCAAAACAGCATTGATTAATGTTACAAGAATTTTTTTCTCTCATTGTAGAGACAAAGGAAACAAACTATCTAGAGACAGGAAATATCTTTTTCCTGTTCAGTGCAGAACTGCCATACACAGATGGACACCAGAAAACAAAATATTTTCTTTTCTTTCAAGCAACATCCTCTAAACATACTGCTAATATGAGTTTGATTTTAGGTGTTTTATTGAAAGTGACCAATTAATCCTAAATTTCTGAATACAATAAAAATTCCATCCAAATAAGTAAACCATTTTAAACGCTGAAAAAGTCAGGCCCAATCTAAGTCATCAAGGAGATCAAATATATATTTAAACAAACCCAAAATCAGGATAGTCCTATCTCTGCTGCATGAAAAAAGTGTCTGACTCCTAATATAAACAACAACAAATTCTTCAATATTGTGAAAGACAGAATATTATTTGTGTTTCTGTAGTAGTCAGAGTTCCAATCAAGAATGAGGCTCCACTGGGCTGAGGGCTACACAAGAATATACAAAATCACTCCCTAGCTTATATAGGGCCTTATTTATATTTCTTCCTTATTCAGCCAAAGCACCCCAGACGACTATGGGACTTTACCTGAATAAGAACTGGGCCCATATAATGGTACAGCCACAAAAATCTAGGTGAGAATTTGCCTTAGATATTTTAAACTACTTAAACATCTAAAATATACAGTAGCTGTAATTTCATGATACTAGCCATTTCAAATGCATGAAGACTTTTGTATACAAGACAGAAAAATTATGCAAGCAATAAGAGAATGAAGCATACTATTTCATCTGTTCACATAACCATGATTAACTTCCCAACTGATATAAAAAAGTCTTAGTGGCCCTTGAACTTGAATTCATGAACAATGTAATACAACAGTGAAGGCTTCACAATCTGTACTTGTTCTCTAAAAAGCAGAAGCAACTATCTGGTTCTCTCATGTGACAGTAAAACCAATATATTCTTACTTACAAAGAACTGTTGTTTTTAAATGTAGGTGGGATAGACCAGCTGAGTCTGAAAGTGTTCTCTCCAGTAATCTAAGATAAGTTCTGCAATAGGGTATTCTGCAATGAAGTATCATATATTACCCCAGAACACTGTTTTGGGGGGGAAAAAAGTTTTTATGTCACTGAACTCAAATATAGTTTTAAGTGAAGTGCATTATTAAGAATTCTTGTACTGAGCATTTAAGACAATCCCCTCCCCCAATGTGTGCATGGAATATCCTTGTATCTTGCAATGTATTTTATAAACTGAGTTTATTCACAGTTGGGCCTGATCTTCATAACTAAGGCAATGACTAAATGGGCAATGGCAATTTTGAGTCATGTTAGCAGGATTGGTTCCTATAGTGCTCCATTTTAAAATCCTCAGAACAATAAAAATAGCTTTTGATGGATTTTGTGGACTGCACCACTCCAACAAATCATCAAGCGCCTGATCTTGCAAGGTGCTGAAGACTAACTCTGATCCAGAAAAGTTTTTAGGCACAAACTCAACTTTTAAGCATGGCAGTACTCCCAACTGAAGATTAACACTAAGCATGTGCTTAAGTGCTTTGCTATAGCAAATGGAGAGCACTTGGCTGAATTTTAACGTTAGATCTCTGCGAATAAAACTACTGCAATATTGCTAGCGGAATATGATAATCAGTAATTTTGTGTGCATGTACACACACACACACACACATAATTTCAGTTCACTTTTAACCAAATATACTTATAAAAGCCACACTTTTGCCACTGATCATTTTTAGGACTACTACATAAAAGTATTCATATAATAAAAGATACAAATACAAGCTTAGGCAGTTTATTAATATTTGGAAGTTCACATATAATTAGGAAGAAGTATTTCTGATATACATTTTATGACCAACTGCTACAATGACATGAACTACTACTGAACCTACTTCTTATATTAAGTGTTTGAGAATCAAATACCAGAATATATAAATCTTTTATAACCTAAAATTAAATACCAAATGTTCAAAAACAAAATGGAAATTAGTTTCCAGTTACTGTTCCTGAATAACTTCACTATCACCACCTAAAGAATGTCAAATTATTAAATTATCCATGTATTCAATATACATTTTATAATCTGTCATTGTAGCGCATTCTTTCCACTGCATCAGGTGGCCATGTATTCAAGTCACAAACTAGATTCAGATTTATATTTAATGCAGATGGCAGGACCTCAGAGAGAAAAAAGGTTACATTCCTTTGTCTGAGGGGTTAAACAGATGTTCTCTATCTGCACATGCAGTTAGAAATTAGATAACATCTCAGCACTATAAAAGTACAGTGCTATGTAAGTAAATTACATACAAAAGTCTATGTTAAAACAACATTAATTTAGGTTGCAAGGTCAAGCACTGGAAAAACATGAAATATCAGAATTAAGGTTGCCAGTGCAACTGTATCATCTGAGCATTTCACAAACACACAGATTGCATTTCAAATCAGAGAGTATTATCCTCATTTTACAGACGGGCTAATGGAGACAAAAAACTTGCCTGAAGCCTCACAGTGAATTACTGGCAGAACCTCATGACTTTCAACATTGAGTTCATTCCTTCAGATCATGCTGCTTTACTGCCAAAGTGTTCAGCATCCACAGCTCCTACTCACTTCAGTTGTACTAGTGAGTGCTCAGTACTTCTGCAAATCAGACCCCAGGCATTCAAGCTGGGTACACAGAACTGAGGAACAGACAATTAGTGGCCACCTGCCAAAATTTGTGTTTAAGTGACTTGCTCAGCATCACACAGGAAGTCTGTGGCAGATGCATGAATAGAACAGAGTTTTTCTGCCTTAAACACCAGAATATTTTCTCTTCCTGAAACACACTGCCTATCTCATTCTCTACACATTCTAACTTCTACAGCAGGAAAGGACGGATTCCTAAAAACAACAGCCACATTTAGTACACTGCCCCGATTCATTCCTTGAGCCCCATCCATCCTGTGCACTGAATGTGGCAGGAGTCCTTTGGAAAAATGGTATGTGATCACATAAATTACAATGCATATACACAAGAGGAAAGAATTAGGGTTGCCTGGGCAGGCAACAGAGCTTTCAAGAGCCATGACCTACAACCTAAATGACTCGCTTTTCACATTTTTTACATGTAATTTCCTAAATTTATTTTTAAAGGTAAAAATAAATTATATTATGCAATTGTAATAACCCCCACATAATGCACCATCAGGCATTGAGAGAAAGGGTAGGTCTATGCTGCAATTAAACTCCTGTGGCTGGCCCACACCATTTGACCTGGCTTGCAGGGCTCATGCTGCAGGGCTGTAAAATTTCAGCATAGACATCCAGGCTTGGGCTTGAGCCTGAGCTCTGGGACCCTGTCAGGGGGGAGGGTCCCAGCGCCTGGGCTCCAGCCCAAGTCCAAACACCTACGCTACAATTTTACAGCTCCGAAGATCCCTGCGAGCCCTAGTCAGCTGGGTGTTTAACTGCAGTGTAGACATACCCTAAGTGACTTGTACTGGGTGTGTGGGCTGGACAGAACAAGCTTGACAATTCCCCCACCCAACTAAAAGTGCTCTGGCAGGAGCTGGTCTGCCTCTGCTCTCTGAAAACCCCAGGCAGCAGTGTGCTGCTGTTACACTGACAGCAAGAGACTTGGCTCTTCAGAATAT